TGAATCATCATAAGAGGAGTTGTTGCATGTTGTTGCTCAACATGGGTCCCGCGAAAGATAAACACATGGAGTTCGCAAAAGATTTGCGAAAGAATTTGCTTATTCGCGAAGAATGGCCGCTTTGCAGATAAGGAATTTAGATCAACCGCCAGGTAGATGATGGCGGATATGTAGATGAAGTTGATGTAGATGACGTAGGTGATGTGAAGGATATACTAGTAAGAGATGCGATGCTGTATGTGATGTAGATGAAGTTGATGTAGATGATTTTGGTATATTTAGGTGATGTAGAGAATGTAGGAGATTTTGTGTAGATAAATAAAAAATGGACTTTGACAGCAAATTCTTGGAAAAAAACCCTTCGCAGGAGTTTCCGTGAAAAACGTTGAAAACACAGGTGAAAAACGACTCTTGGTAGACATTTTTGATGGATACCCTTACAGGACACTGTTCCCTTGGAATGCACTCTTCATGAAGATATTGATAGACACTCTAAAACAATTTTGTTGATGGACATTGTTACGAAACATCCCTCGCTTTTTTTGGCAGTATTCTCTTGGAAGACACTGGTTCGGACAGGTGGAAATTTCGAAAACAGCGAAACTTAAACTCCACGACCAATGAAGTCATGCGTGAACAAAAATTACCTGGTCCACTTGTATAACAACTATTGTTGTCCAAAGTCTTGATGGTATATCATTTGCCATTTGGACGAGAATAGTTGTCCTTGCACCTGTCACGCAAAATCATCTCAGCAAACCTGAAGATCTGATGCTCCAAAATGCAACCCCTTTCAAGAAATCAGCGCCCTGACCTCCTAACATCTCTGATGAACATGTCTTTTGTGACTGCGCCTACCACGCGAAATGCATCTTTGAAGACCTTCTTCAAATGTCCCACGCCTGCCATCGCTTTTGAATGCTAAAAACCCTCACGTTTGGCTCACCTTTGACAAGGTGCACAATCCCTTGCGCCTGCCACGCGAAAGCGCATCTGAGCGTCCAAAAGTGGTCCGTACGTGGTGTGTTTTGTATGACTTCGAAATTTGCTTCGCGCCACAACGGCATGGACTTTTTCAACATCTCAACTTCCAAAAGTGGCCCGAGCATGGTGTTTTTTTATACATTGTGACTTAGAAATGTGCTTCGTGCCACCGGCGTGCACTTTTTTCGACATCTCAACTTCCAAAAGTGGTCCGAACCTGGTGTCTTTTGTGCATTTTGACTTCGAAATGTGCTTCGCGTCACAACGGCGTGCACTTTTTCGACGTCGCAGCTTCCAAAAGTGGTCCGAACCTGGTGTCTTTTGTACATTTTGACTTCGAAATTTGCTTCGCGTCACAACGGCGTGCACTTTTTCGACGTCGCAACTTCCAAAAGTGGTCCGGAGCTGGTGTGCTTTGCGCATTTTGACTTCGAAATGTGGTTTGCGCCACAACGGCGTGCAATTTTTCATCTCTCATCTAGCCAGATGGCTCCGCACCCGCCGCTTTAGCGAGCCTACTTTTCGACCCTCCGGAGCCACAAATCATTGGAAAAATACAGTGTTTCGCGACTTTCCTACCTTTTCGCGCGCCTGCATCTTTTTTCTTCTGACTCTTTCTCTTCTCTATCTTCTCTCTTCTACTCTTCTCTTCTCTCTGACTCTTCCCATCTCTGCTTTTCATCTGTCCATATTGTCGGAAGTTTGACTTCTAAACTTCCTTCGAATAAATAGTGATTTCATGTTATTAAGTTCCCAATGCCCTGGAACTTAACTTCCGTTTGGATACGACAAACTATGACCCTGATAAATCCTGAAGCGCTAAGGCTTATGGCACCCAGAAGGTCAACCAGTTCATGAAAGGCATTTACAGCAATGATGTGTTCATTGATAGGTCTCAAGGGCTGGAATTGAGCAATGCTCTTTATGCCTTCATCAAGGCGTATGCATTTGAAGCGCATGCCTCTTACAACAAGGGGGTGTCAGCTTTTGCAACGTATCCAAAGATTCATTTTTTACACGAAGTAGCTCATACCATGAAATGGCAGTGCCACAAATGTGGCATCTGCATCAAACCTGCAACATTTAGTCGTAGTATTGACGAGGACTTCATTGGAAGGACAGCTGCTATCACCCGTTGTGTAGCTGCTAGGATCATGGCCAAGCGCACACTGCAGCGCTACTTGTGTTTATTTCAGTGTGCATGGACGCATGTGTGATTTGCCTTGCTGGAAAGGGAAAAACATTGTGCAACTTAAACCAGGCCAAGGGCATAGGAAGGGAACAGATACCTGAAAAAGGCGCTTATTTTGGAGTTTGTTTTGGCATAAACCTCGTGGACGTAAAAAACCGTACTTGGACGTAAAATACCATCGGGGAAATCTCTTGAACGATCTTGAACGTAAATAACCGTTCATGGCCGTGAACTTCCAATCACTGCCACAAATAGTTTACCATTTGCATCTTGGACAGGAATGGTTGTTTGGGCAGGGCAGCAGGTATGTATAAATAGTGCATTTCCACTGAAAACACATCACCTTGCAGCATTCCCCTTAGTCAGGAAGGCGCAACCATATGGCACACATTCGCGCACGGCACGGTCGAGGGTGCGAAACACGCAAAAACCAAACCTGTGAAAATGCAAGAGAGACATTTGGCTGTCTGAAGCGCTGCCCTGCCACACAAAGGGGATCTGCACCCCTCGCAAGTGCTGCACCTGTAGTGCCAACATCACTGCAACGTCGACGCATGAGAAAAGTATAGTGCTTGTGAAATGAGGCTGGCCTTGATAGTCACTGGGAATCACTCTTTATGCCCTCACACGTTTCAAACAGGTTGTGATTGTTTTGGGATTTCTAGGACCCCTGAGTGGTATTTTCAGGAGGTACAGCCTCATTGTCATTGTGGCCGTCGCCAACGTTCAATCCACATATCGTACAGTACATACACCCAGGCTAAATGGCGAGACTATATGTAGTTCAGATCGGGTTTTGAGACCTTACAGTAGTTTTGCTACGTTTCAAAGTGCTCAGATACAGTAGATGGTGTAGTGTAGAGATAGGGTTTGGCAGGGGCACATTGGCGGTCAAGTTTTTGCTAGTGTGTGAAAGTTTCTGTGTGTATTTTTTCGTGTGTAAAAGGTTTCTCTGTGTAAATATGTCTGTGTATAAACGTTTTCGTGTGCACAGATGTCTCCGAGCGGTTGCAGTGCTTAAATCTTTTATCTCCAACCTGCAACGTGCCAGGACACGGAAACTTTCCTCATCCTTGGCAGCCCCGCAATTCTCACGCGCAAATGGTGTGTGGGTGAGATGGTGACAGCACATCGGAACAACGTGAAGACTCAGCTCCTTTCTTGGCCAGCATTCCTGAAACCAGATGAGAAGTTCATTGAGCACTTCCCAACCCTTGTCCCAGATTATGGAGAGCTCGCCAACCATGGCATTGGCCTGTCAGATGTGGCGAAAACTTTCAGATGGCTGCACACGGTCGCAAGTCACAATTTGCCAGAGAAATTCACGCCGAGTTCGGCATTTCCTCTGGTGAGTATGTTGTGTGGCCAGTCATTGTCAGCTTGCAGAATGACAACTTTTTATTCCACAGATTGCCCAGTGTTAGCAAACCCTGAAGACACAGAGGCAATGGCCACGGCCATGGTGCTGTCTTCAATGTTGAACCCCAAACTGATTGGTACCCGTTTGCCACTTACCTCCGTCTTGGAGGAAGGCAACGACGTGCTCGACGGAGCCCAGGTGGCGTTGATGATTTGCAGTTCCAACTGCTGGAAGTCAGCCCAAGTGGAGCGCTGGTTGTTGCAGACCAGCCAGCTCCCTTCCTGCGGAGTGATTCCGGTGATCGCTGAAGACAACTTCTTGGTACCATCACCAAGCATGTACGAAGAGCTGCGTCCAACCTCTTTGCTTGATCAGCAAGAATTCCAGCGCTACTGTATGGTCATCAAGGCTCTTTTCCAAGAGATTGCAGTAGTCTTTGTGCCGCAGAACTATTCCTCCACCCATGAAGATTTGCTGCTTCGAGCCAATCAAGCAGCTGGGAGGCTTCAGGCCACCCTGACACCTCTGGCTGAGAAAGTGAGAGCCATTGAGGATAGGGATGGCTACAAACACATCGCAGAAATTGACAAAGGAGTCACTCTTAAGGAGGACGACTGGAAGGAGGACCCTGTTTTCGGAAAAACTTTGTCCGCAACGTTGTAGTTTTCTTTTCTTATGATGCCGATGAGGGTCAAAGACTCGATACATTATATAATTATATACAAGTTTTCAGTTCTTCTGTATTTCTTGTTGCTGCCTTTCCCTTTCTGCAAGGCTAGGGTCTCGCGAATTCGCCTGTCGTGCAGAATGATTGCACAATCCACAAAGTGGAACATTGTGCACTTCATGCAGCATCAAGAGATTTTAGGAGTACGTTGTGCGAGGTCCAAAATGCTGTTCTCATCAATGATGCGTGTGACAAATGTGTAGATATGTAATGATATGTATAGATTTTCAAAATGATCACCATGTTCATGAACAAAATGATGTTACGATTGTTATTGAAGGAGAGTAAGAGATGAAGCCACTGCCAGAGAGAAGATGCACACTGGAAATGGTGGCTTAAATGGTATGGTATTGCAAACCATGGCAAACCTTGATCATACACCCCAAAGGACATAATTAATTGAAGTAGACAGCAACGCACATATCTAACAATTAGTGTGGAATTACTCAGGACCGATTAGGGGCAGCATGGGGCAGCACTTACGGAAATGGTTGTTTGTAAGACATTTTGGACATAACATCAGCATGTTGTCAACCCTTGCTTCGAATCTATGATCCATTTGGATCCTTTCGAGATTGGGCCTTGCCTCAGCTCAGCTCAAACAGTGGGACAGTGGGAAGGCATGGATTTATAGTACCGCCATGAACGATGCAGGGGCCTCAGGGCCTCAGGCCATGAGATGTACAAGTTGTGTCGTGCGTGCGGGCTTCGTGCATCGCCAGGATGAGAATTGGGAGATGGCGGGCTTTTGCCCCCAGAACAAGGAGAGACCAAACTTCCACTGAAAGTAGAAACAAGTGGAGGATGATAATGGATGATGTGTAGAAGCAGGAAATAAGCAGAAACAACTGGCAGATCATTCGGATTGAGAGCCTGCCAGGACCCAGGCTTCGGAGAATTTGTGGGACAGGCAGATGTTTTTTCAACCTGCAAACTGGTTTCTGTTTTGGATGTAATATGATAAAACGCGATAAAATGCAATAAAGGTCAATTAATTGCGGTAGGATTGTGATCTTTGAATAGCAACCTGCGAAAAATCGTTCCATTTTCGCAGGTAGATGCGGTTCTACCCAGCGGCTGTTGTTTTGTGAAGTGCCAGGAGGTGAAGGCTGGGCACCTATGGCACCCCATGGCACCAGAGACCCCAGCAGTTTTCGTTCGTCTTGCACGACCAGGACCTCTATGACGTGGATGCCTACATTCACAGCAGCGCCATTGTCTTACATCGAATTACACCTCGGACATCTGCAAAACATTTTTTTTAGTGAGAATTTCGGACAGTTCATTCTGAGGTCGTTCAGCAATGCTCCCTTCAACCTGGGGAAGAGTCCGGGCCCGATCTTGATATGATTTGATGACAGGATCAGTGAATCTGGATGAAGGACACCATTCAGCACTGCCTTTCCCATCTCTTTCCAATCATTTCCCATGTCAGGATTTGCTTCAACGTTCATGTGAGCAGCGCTGGCAGACCACAGGCGCGAGAGATTCACCAGATTGGTTCCTTGTCGCCCAAACCTTTCCAGCAACCGAGTCAACCGAGCGACCGTTGCCCACAAAAGTCCGCTGCAGGTGTCAGCCCCATGCCGGTCTCTTAGGGTTGACCACTGACCATCCACTGACCAAACAGCAATGGATCAACGATGGCAACGTTGGCCTCACCACAATCCTCCTCTTTGATGAAAACTCTGGGACTTAGGTTGGAAGAGAAGACAGGGCTTGAAGCGGCCTCTGACAGGGCAGGCAATGTGTCATGACCTGTGACATCTTTGATCTTGTTATATCACATATATACGTATACCTGGACGTCCATTACTAGAAAAAAGTGACACGAATTGAAAAGTTGTCGTTTCAACAATTTCGATGACGTTTCACAAAAAAGTGGTCGCCTTCCAAAAAAGTAGACGATCTTGCTAGTGTATTTTTGCAAAGTGTACTACTTGTTCAAATTGCGCTCGAGTTGCGCAAAATTGCGCTCGAGTTGCGCAAAATTGCGCTCGAGTTGCGTTCTGTTTTTCTGCCCGTTGTGCTTGGTGCCCCTAAAAAGTAATACGTTTCAAAAAACGATACGAAGATCACTATTTTAACAAAATTTGAACGATTTGCCATATTTCATGCGTTTTCATGAAAACTGGTACGAAACCATGGGGGGGTACTTTTTTCTAGTACGATTGGATGTCTAGGTATTAATATTACGGTAACGACTTCCAATCGCTAGACTGGTTTACCGTCTAGGCCTCTCTAGGTCATCATTTAAATATGTGGAGGGCGGGCCAGACTGCGAGGCCCCGGAGGTAGTATGAAATACCAGTTCGTATATTTAAATGTAGATACCGTACGTTTAAATGAATTGGATTCCGTATGTTTAAATGGCCGGGCGGGCCAAGGAAAACCTTCCCGGAGGTAGTCTAAAGTACCGTTCGTATGTTTAAAAGTTTAAAAGTCCGTATATTTAACTGTAGTTACCATAATTATATTATATGATTATATATTCTTTGATTGTAGCATGATAGTCAGATAGTCCTTGACATGCCCTTGACATGTTGAAGTCATGCCAGGCTGGTGGATTTGGCGGTATCCAAGGCATGAGGGCTGCATGGGGCTGCTGTTTTCGCCCCATTTTTGCCATCTGAAGGCGCCAATGGCGGGAAAAGCGTTGCGAAGGGACAAAGCGGTCGAAACCCCAGAGCACCGGCGAAGGGATGGATTAAACCCACCATTTACCACCTGGTTATTTAGCATAGCTATGGAAAATCACCATCTTTAATAGGTAAATCATATTAAATCATCATAAATCATCTATTTCTATGGGCCATTTTCCATGGCTGTTAACTAACCAGAGGATACATATAACTGACCATTTATTCAAGAATATCGTGAACGTGGTTCAACAATGTTCAACATGTTTTAACCCTAAAGTCCTGTCGTTTTATCAGCAGATCATATCCCCGATAAACTGCAGAATTTTGCAACGACCCAGGTGCCTGGCAACGTCCAGGTGGTGAAGTGGTGAAGGCGGTGGATGAACTCATATGGGCTCATGGTTTATACCAACCATTACCATTTAAATTTTATGATTTTTATGGTCAAATTGGGGTGGATCCTATAAATTGCTTTACCCATTGACCACAACTCAATTTCATTTTGCATGTTGTTTGCATGTCGAAGCTCCACCTCTGTCAGCTAGCTTTTCAAGCAACATAATATGCAAAGACGAATTCACATACCTTTTCCAAGCTGTCACATACGTTCTTAAGTTAGATTGGACCACCAGTTCGCCGGCTTTGGATTGATGTTGACAAGAACATCCATGAAATTAGATTTGTTTTGGTTGAATTTCGGTGAAGTGCTGTGCCAGAGAATTCAGAAGCAAATCTTGCAAGCACGCATTACCTTTTTGCTCTCATCCTTCATATCCACAGCATTGCGTTACGACTCAACATGCTTATTGGTGCTCAACATGGACAATGATGAGCTGGATGAACAGCTGGATGAACAGCTGGATGAGTCCTCGGCTCCGACATTTCCGGTGGATTTCGGACCCCTTGCAGCCGCAGGTGTCACGCCTGAGGAGCTCGCAGGCTGCATCTCCGTGCTGTCGCGTCTGCAGGAGGCAGAAGAAACGGGGACGTTGGACCGCAACGCAGCCTGTTTGAGACCGCTGCGGAAGGCTTTGTCTCTCCACCTGCGGCAGAACTTCAGCCACCTGCCACAGAAAGATGTCATTGATGACAAAGAGCGGAAGAGGCTGGAGAAGGAACGAAAGAGGGAACGAAGACAACGACAACTGGAAGCGGACAAACGGTGGAAGGAGAACGCGCAGCTTCGCGCTTCGCGACTTGCAAAACTTGAAGCCTTGGAAGGCTCAGCCGCTGATTCGATGCTGGCAGATGGAGCTGAAGTCAGCCAGGCTCTGCAGGGGTCTCAACAGTCTCAACGGATCCCAGATGGACCTGCAGATGTAGAGTATCCAACGGTGCCAGAACTGAAAGAAGCCGAGGAATCTGTGGAATACCAGCGACAGCAGGCGTGTTACATTTGTAAAGTTCGTTTCTCTGAAAGACATCACTTCTATTCCCATCTGTGCCCAGCCTGCGCGGCCTTGAATTTTGAAAAGCGAAATCAAACCAGAGACATGACAGGCCGTGTTTGTTTGGTGACTGGAGCACGGGTAAAGATTGGGTTCCAAGTTGCATTGAAATTCCTGCGTATGGGTGCACGAGTTCTGGTGACGAGCCGCTTTCCACGCGATGCCCTTGGTCGCTATGCGACTGAGACGGATGCCGCTGAGTGGATGGATCGACTTCGAATCATCGGTGCAGATTTTCGTTTCCTGGGTGGTGTTGAAGCCATGTGCCACGAATTGTGTCAGAAAGAGCCCTATTTGGATGTTATTGTGAACAACGCCTGCCAAACCATTCGCCGGCCAGCTGCATACTATGCGCATTTGTTGGAGGGTGAAGCAGGGGCAGCGACCAAAGCAGTGACGGACTCAACAGCTCAAACGGCTCGAGCGGCTCAAGCCCTAGATTCTTCTGGTGATTCTGGTGGCTATGCCGTGGACCAAAGCAGCGCGGCTTTGTCACAGCTCGCCGTGTTGAGCGAGGACCGTATGAGAGCAGAAGAAGTTGCCATGGCCCTGCCCTCGGGGCAGCGTGATGTGCATGGGCAGCAGCTGGACCTTCGCAGCAGCAACAGCTGGTTGCTGAAGTTGGGAGAAATTCAAAGCCCTGAGGCAGCAGAGGTTTTCTGCATCAATACCCTGGCTCCGTTCATCATCAACAGCACCTTGAGACCTTTGCTGGAAAGATCCCCCAACCCAGATAGATACATCGTGAATGTCTCTGCCATGGAGGGCAAGTTCTACCGATACAAGCAGCCCACCCACCCACATACGAACATGGCCAAGGTGCCCCTTCGTTTATTTCGTTCATTTTTGGGGGGGTTCGGGATCGGGCCCATGAATGTGTTTGTGCGTTTGGGCAGCTGCATGGGCTTGGATATCACTGTAAGATTGGATAAGTATGATATTATATGTTATTATATGCATAGACTCGACATGTATTTTAGCGCATGCTCTTTGATGCATTTCAGGCATTTTCAGGCAGACAATTAGCGCATGAGTGTTGTCCTGGCAGAACTGTCACAATGGACATCTTGTGTTCTTGCAGCTACCCATTTTCTTTCCCCAATTATTAGCTGTCCCAGGTGTTTTCCAGACGTATTTCATTCCAACCAAACAAGAATTCCCTGAGGCCGCTCTCAACATGATGACGCGCACATGCGCGGAGGATCTCGCAATGAACAGCGGAGTCTATATGAATAGTGTGGACACCGGCTGGATCAACGATGAGAATCCGCTGCCCACAGCCCAACGAATTGCTGAGAGCCACAACTTCCAGACACCCATCGATGAAATCGATGCAGCTGCTCGCATTGTGGATCCTGTGTTGGTTGGAATGGGATCCACGGGGTCCACGGTGGGTCGACCCAAAAAGCGCGGAGCCATGGCGGGTGGTTTGACGGATGGCTCTGAGGGTCCACCTTGGGGTTGGTTCCTGAAGGATTACATGCAGAGTGAGCCTTGGTGGTGGGGTCCACACTGTGGGAGTCACCTTTTTGAGTTACTTTTGCCATCTTTTGCCTTCTCTTTGTGGGGGAATTTCTACTTAAGTTCAACTTAGCTGAGCTCCAGGATTTTTGAAGGCCATACCGAGTCTTCCTAAATTGATTCATTCCAAATGATTGGACACTGTTGGAACATTGTTTTCAGATTCACATGATTCACCGATGGCTTCGCTTTCGGACCAATTTGAAAGACTAGGAGTGGTGATCAAGTGATGATTCGGATGTTGCAGAGCTGCTTCAAGGAGGTTCTGAGTCTGATTCCTGATGATCTCGAAGCGAGACAGCTTGAGACAGCTTGAGACAGCCAGGATCAGCTAGGCGTGTTGAAGCAAAAGAAGAGCTTGCAAACCAGCTGGCCGACAGGATTCCATGTGTTTTTGTGGTGTTTGCCCTTCGGAAGGGCCCTTCTCTTACTTAACAAACATCGATATAACATCGATTCTACGTAGATTCTGGGATGGGCGCCGCGCCATTCCAGGCCCGGCGTTTAGTGGAGAGCCTGAATCCCTCAGGCGCATGGCTCAGCATGGCTCAGCACCAGGTAAATCCAGGTGAATCCAGGTGATGTGGTGCGACCGCTTGCCACGATATGCCACGGATCAGCAATGCTAAAGTGTTCAAAGATGTTCAAAGTGTGTTCATGTTCGATCCCAGGCCAGGGCAAGGGCATGGGCAATGGCCTGACACCTGAAAAGTTTGACAATGCAAGACAGTCATAAAATGTCTTTTCATGTCTTTTCATGTCTTTTCATTGCCAGATATTGCAAGAGAATGTAAGATATTGTAAGCACATGTGCATTGTGTACGCATGTTGAGTCTTCTTCTCAGTGTTGTGCGCTTCTTTGTGGTGTCATTGATGTTCATTGAGGAAATGCCGCCGTCCAAGCTATGCAAATGGCGGAGCCAGATCAAGGCAAACTGTGTTGGACCTTATTGGACTGTCATGTCCTTCGCCCATGGCAGATGCGGCGCAGGCTTCCCGGTTGACGATGCCGCCCAGTTCCTGATCGGCACCATAAAGATTACCAATTTCGATCCCACTTCCCGCCCAGTCCTTGCCTCGGGAAATTTCGCAATGTTTGATCATGTTTGATCTATTTACGAATCAAGTGTGTTGGGATTTGGCATCAAGCTGGTTCTGATTTGAGGCAAAGGACTTCAGCTTGATCGCATGTCCAGAGACAGGGCTCCTTCTATGCAATGTGTGAGTGTTCACATGGTTTGTGGCATGCGGTGCATAGAGGAAGACCCCCTGCATTAGGGCCCATTCAAGGCTTCCGCAAGATGTGTATGTGCGTGGAGCAGTGGCAACCTCTCAGGCATGGATTGCTGTCTGTGGCAAAACATGTCCGGAAAATATTAACGGATTGGAATGTGGCTTTCCTGCCAGGCCTTTGCAGTTGGTGACATGGTAGCTTTTGCCTATCATATGACTGAAAAAGGCCCACAGGCGCGGACGCACCTTTGACCATTGACATTCCATTCCAATGGCCTCCCCATCCCATTCCAAAAGGTCCGTGCGCGCAATGTCCAGGCAACTGCTGTTTTCAAGCTGGTGGGCCTTGGCCTAAATACATTTGCCCATCTTGGGCTTGGTAGTTCACAGCTGCCAATGATCTCCAGCATTTTGCTGATGATTTTTGCAAGCAGGAAGGGAGGTCCAATTCCCCCCGTATCAGGGCAGCGCACCCAGATGACCTCGGATGACATCACAAATTCGGTGAGACACAGGTGGTAAACACGGCACTGGCTTTGGATAGCTTTGGATTTGAGACGATTTGAGGCCTCATCCACAGAGTTCTGCCGAATGGAAACGGCTTCATCAAGTGTCACCCAGCTGCATCAGAGCATATCAGAGCCCAGTGGCGGAAAGATGACGTCAAGCGCAGAAAAGTTGAAACCGAGGCGATGCGATCACGGCTGAATACGGCCCCGCACTTGTTGGAGAACGGTGGAGAAAGTATGATTGCAGGTGACTGCAGGTGATTGCATAACTCTGGAAACTGCCACCTGAGGCAAGGATGTTTGGTCCCCAGTGGAGTTAGCTCAGAAACCTGCCAGAATTTGAACCAATCATTTCCCCATCCCCCATCTTTGAGGCATTCATCCATGCCAGTGTCGTGCAGCAGTGTGGCCTGAATGAGCAGGACAGTCTTCACATGTTTCACGTCGTTTGCTTTGTCAGCTGCCAGGTTTTCATTGAATTGCGCAATCAGGTCAGTTGGAAAATGCTTGGAAACCTCGGGCGCACATGAGCCCACATTGACACTTGTCCAGCGTATCCCACAGCGAACCTCTGATATTCGAAGCGGTCCCGGTTAAATGGCATGCCGATTTATATTTATACAGTTTAATATATTTACTAGCGAGGGGGTGATCATAAACGATGCCGTGAATGAATGCATCAGGACATAATCGCTTTCGATGTGCACATCAGCAAAGAGGGCAACCCTCAGGCAGGGCTGCAAACAAATGCTGACGAACCTGGCACATGTCAAGATTTACAACCGCCAGAAACACAATCCGCATGGATTGAATCTGCATGGATTGGCCGAAAGTCATGAAACATCGATATTTCATGGATCCATGTAGCTGATTAAAACATGATAAACCATGGGTTTAACATGGTTTAACATTGCTTGTTCAAAGCCACCGTTGAGATGCTCAGCATTGCAGGCCTCTGCCCCTTGCCACGGCCCTATTCAAGTTGGCAGCTGTCAGCTGTGGTTTTCGCAAATCCTCCAAGTTCCAAGATTCCAATCCAAATCCATTTCCAATCCCAGTGGAGTGTAGCGGCTGCAGGTTGGCAACAAATTGCTCCTACCAGCAACTTCCAGGTGCCGCGCTGGGAGTTGCTTTCAGTGAGTCGCATTGCAAAGCAATCCGCAGGCTGTGATGCAAGCGCCGCAAGTGCAAACTCGGATGCCGGGAGCGTTTGGAGCCATGGGGGGATGGATATGGATGATACGGATGGAGGTTCATGGAGGTTCTATATGTTTCAGTCACCTTCCCCAGATCCCAGGTTTCAGTCAGTTCCAATGGCTGGGAAAGGCGCTGGAAAGGCCCCCCTTGGAAAAGGCAGGGGCCTCCGACTTTCTGCGTTGGTGAGCTTGTGGAGCTCCAAATTTTCTACAGAAATTTGACCTAGTGACCTAGACTACTTGAGCAAAAGATGCGAAAGACGCTCCACGCTCCAAAATTGGGACAGGTGGCAAGGCTCCCGGTGGGAGGCCACCAACTTTAACCCTTTCCAAGGGCGGCACTGTGCAGGGCGCCCAAGGCTTCGCCTCCTGTGGCTAGTGAATGGAAGGATTGGAATTACCGGTGCCAGGGATCTATTTGGGCCATTCTGGGATGTCAGTTTTGCATTTGCTTTTCCTCTTATGAAAATTTTGAAGCCTTCTGGAATACACGAATACCGCAGCTGATCAAGACCTGCGACCCTACTGTCCAGCTGAGGCGCGTTCAAGGGCCAACCACGCAAGCACCAAAAGGAGGCCATCTAAGTTGCCACCAAAAATCATCAAAAATCATTAAAAAACAAATCATCAAAAATCAACCCAGACCTTGCTGTGTTTTTGCAGGTGCCTGGATGGGCGCCAAAGGTCAAGCCCTTCCCCCAGGCATATCGATTATGACCGCCTGATTTGCCTCGCTGTGACGGCCAGTCATGGCTCTCTTTGTCATGATGTGTCATGATCATGTTCCACATCACCGTCATCAACATCTTCATTAACATCGTCCTTATCAAAATCCCCATCGTCATCATCCTATTGATTCTTCAAACAATTACACATGTTTCAGTTCTGTTTGTTCGAATCTGCATCGATGTTGCCAGGCCCATTGAAGGGCATGCCAGCAGCACCCAAGCCAAAACCACTGCTCTCCAAGGGTTGGCCTGCCTGGTCCCGGCCTCGGAATTTGCATCTTGGATCATCTGGGATGTTAATGGGAATGGGTTACGATTGTCATTGTTATTGTTGAGATCCTTGTCATTGTCGGCGTTGTATGATGATGATATATATGTTTATCTGTCCTCAGGTGTAAAGGTGAAGCTTGTGATTCTTTGACTGTAGCTTTTGGCTTCAGCTTCATGACCACGGCACCTGCTTGCCAAGGGTGCCGTGGGAAATACTCCCTCCTGTACCCGGGAGTGGAGCAGTGCGAGGTTTGCAATAGCCTCTACCGTGTTGGGCATCTGGTGTGGGGACCCAGATTCCCGGTGGCATTACGCGTGCAGGCGGCCCGTGCTCTGCAGCAGTGTCACCTTCAGCTTCTTTCAGAGGCTGATCAATACTACTCCCAGGTCGAGGGAGTAGTGCGACCCCGTGGGGTAGGGGCCGCTGGTGGGAGTGGACAAGGACCTCTCCCGTTCCCTGAACCAGTCGCCTTCCCTGGTTTCAGCGCTGCCAAAGTCGAGACTGCCGAGCCCACTGTGCCTGCCCCTGCCGAGAAAGTCAAGAAAGAAAAAGTGAAAAAGAAAGACAAAGCTGCCAAGAAATTGCCATCTTCATCAGCCCGCGATCGTGAAGGAAGCCCTGCAAAAGAAAGGAAACGCCATCGACGAGACGAGGACAAGGACTCCGTGCCAGCTTCCCTACACGTCAAAAGGGAGCCTGTGGAGGAAGAGCGACCCAGGCACGGTCTTGTGGAACTGAAGAAGGAGTCCCGGGAGGAGGAGTCCTACGAGTCTGAGAGTCCGGTCCCTAGGTCCTTGAGTCGGAGCAAGTCCCCTATCCGCCGACGACCGGGAGGAGCAGAGCGGCCTGTTTCTCCCCCGGGTCCTCCTCCCCTCGCCCGTGACGTCAGGGAGGAAGAGTACCCCAGGTCTCGTTGGCAAGGGCCGATTCCAGCGGGTGGACCTCGGCGGCCTGCGCCCCCGCCTGAGGAGCCTGCGGGCCTGGCCCCAAAGGTCAAACCCAAGAAGAAAAAGAAAAACAAGGGCATCAAGAAGAAGGAGCGTCAGCGGACCAGGGAGCAGCAGCGGCGCCAAGGGGGGCGCTGAGTGAATGCCTCCAAAGCATATAAGACGGCCTGCTGCTCTAGCAGCGGTGGCCGCCAAAGCAAAGGCGCGTGTGCAACGGCGTGGTCTTCGTCGTCCTGCCGGAGCTGTTGAAAAATCTTTTGAGGAGAAAGGGGAGGTTGCTGTCCATACAGTACCTCCTGCCGACCTCTTGTCTTCAGGGAGGTTGGTGTTCACAGAGGCTACATATTGGAAAGAGAAAACGCAGGTCATCGGTGTTCCAGTGGGGCTGAAGAAAGAGGAGGATCAATGGTGGCTTACATTGAAAGTGGAAGGCACCAAAAGCGAGCATTTGCTGAAACACCTTTCCGGGGTTCCAGCCCGCCGTTTGAAGGGGCACATATGCCCGGACGATTGCAGTCAGGAGCTGTCGAGCAATTCGATTATCCACTTGGTGAAGGTGAAGAAGGCGAGTGCAGACGAAGCCGAGGGGTGGATGACAAACCTGGTGGAAGCAGCTCCGGGAGGGGTGGACGAGCTGGAGGCCTTGAGAGCAGAAGCAGAGAAGGCCGCCTCCGTGAGTCCGAGCCCTCCCCGAAAAGACAAAAAGAAGAAGAAGGAGAAGGTAGAAGAGAGGAAAGGCCGGGATCGGTCAAAGAAACGCAGCCGCAAGAGGAGCGTCTCAAGGCAAGGTCAGAGGAAGAGAGGCAGCAGAGATCTGGCCGTGATCCTAGGAGACAGCGGTTTGGATCCCGAGCCAAGCCGTCGAAAGAAGGTGATGAAACGTGCAAAAAGGCTGATGAAGAAACGAAAAAAGAAGGCCAGCTCCTCCAGCACTGGGAGCTCGGCCAAGGACAAGAGCGAGACCGACTCGTCTTCCTCAGTGATGGAGGCCAGCGGCATCTTCGGGGAGACAAAGATGGCAAAGAGAATTTGGTCAAGATGCCCGGGAGTCTTGACCGCGACTTCATTGTCGTCGGTTCAGGAACAACTCCTGAACACCCAGGGGCAGATCTGGGACATAAACCGCCAAGAACTTCCACCTCTTTTCCTTCAATACTTCAGGACCCACTTGGCTGCACGAATGCAACCAGCAATGCGACGGGAGGCCTTACACACCTCCTTCTGTCTGGACCTGGGCCTGCAAGGCCGAGTGCCGGAGCTTTTGGATGTTCTGGCACAACGCCTCAAGGCGTTAGAGGGCCAGACGGGAGGAAAGCACTGGACAGTGACCTCCCAGTACGAACTGGTTCCGGAGGAGTTGGGCACTGTAGCTACGGCGGTGGAGACGGAGCAAGCCGCCCGAGAAGCCCGCGAGGCAGGTCGCCTGCGGACCGTTGCAACCCGGGCCTACGGCAGCAGTCAAGGTGCCGATCGAGGAGACGATTGGAGGAGAGAGGTGAGCAAAGGCAAGGCCGGCAAGAGCTCCGGAAAAGGGAAGGATTGGCGAAAGGGCGACAAGGGCGACTACAAGGACACCAAGGGGAACAAGGATGGCGAGAAAGACAGGGACAAGGCTCGTGGCAAATGAGAAGGCAGCAAGATGGAGGGGGTGACACCTCTCCTGTTCAAAAGGGCAGTGATTTTGTGGGAGCTTCGGCCGCTCCTGAGGCTTTACATGTGGGACAGCCAATGGGAGTAGGGCCTCCTTCCCCAGGAGGTCAAACTCCGGATGTATGCAAGCGTGAATTAGGAGCAAAGTCTCCATTTTGTTTCACTTCAGATACAGTTCCCGCTGAAGAGAGGAAGATTGGGCCGTCCCAAGAGTACTCTCCAGTGGGCCCATGCGTGGACACTACGAAGCCGGTGAGTGATTCTTGCCGGGGCTTGGAAGGCAAGGACCTGGTAGCCATGGGGGACATTCTCAGTTCTATCTTGGATGAGTTTCATGTGAAAGGTTTTATGCATAGCAAGTCTCAGTCCTCGGGGCTGGTACCTAGCTGCATTTTTCCTTTGCCCCTCTCATCCGAGATTTTGGGGAGTTCTCCATATGGTAGCCTGGCCAGAGCGACTTGTCAAGCTTTGAACCTTCTCTACGGCGAGTCGGATGGCGGAAAAAAGATGCGACCGAGTGGAGCCAGGGACAGGGCCCTTAAGTTCATTCTCCAGTGTGTGGAGACGGTGGGGTCGTGGAATGAAGTGTTTCCCCGATTGTCTTTCGACACGTTCTTTAAGTCCAAGGGTGTAGACTATCGGGGGGAAGAAGTTAGGCTGGCTCAGCGGGTCACATGGGAGACGATCTCTCCTGCCATGCCTCCTGAAGTGGGAGGCGTTTCACTTTTGGATTTCTGTTCTTTGGGAACTAGGCACTATGTGGAAAATTTCTCTAACTATCTGGTACCACCTGAAAAGCGTTTTCTTGGGCGGCCGCCCCTTGTGATGGTCGATGACAGTGAATGGGCGTCAGTTTGTGAGGGCTTACTGGCGCGTCGAGTGTGTGGCATCATTCCGCTGTCACAAGTCTGTCACGTTCAGGGCCGCCCTATGTTGGGTGGACTTTTCGGGGTTGGAAAGAATGAATTTGTGGGCCAGAAGGAGGTCATGAGGTTAATCATGAACTTTGTGCCGCTGAACGAGAATTGTAAACCGCTGGACTCGGACATTTCAACCCTTCCAGGGATTTCAGGGCTCAGCCCGTTCCTCCTGGAGGGTGGGGAGGTGGTTCTGGTGTCGAGCGAAGACATTAGATGCTTTTTCTATTTGTTTGAACTTCCTTGCTCATGGTTTCCATTTCTCGGTTTCAACAAGTTGATCCCTCAGCACATCTTGCCACCTGAGTTGGCAGGGCAGCAGTGCGTGCTGCATGCGCGCGTATTGCCCATGGGGTTCCGCAACAGCGTGGGGATTGCACAACACGTGCATCGCAACGTCATCCGCCACGCCCTCCTCGCATGTACCCCTCCTGTGTCGGGAGAAGGGGAAATGAGGAAGGACAGACCCAGCTCTAGCAGCAAGGAGTGTTACAGGATCTATTTGGACAACTTTGATGTTATCCGACGTTGTGACCCTGATACCGCCGCCCTTGTGGAGGGAGAACCCGGCCTGATGACTCTCGTTGCCCGCCAGGCGTATGCCAATGCCGGTCTCCCGAGGCACCCCAAGAAAGCTGTTTGCCAAGTGTCTAAGGCAGAAGTTCAGGGTTGCATCCTGGACGGGCAACAGGGGATAGCCTACCCCAAGCCGCAGAAGGTTGTTCTCTACGTCAGCCTGGCACTGGAACTCCTGCAGCGGGGAGTGGCCAACCAGCGCGAAATGCAAGTCGTTTGCGGAGGATTCGTTTACTTTTGCATGTTTCGTCGCCCATTACTCTCCGCCCTGAACGCAGTGTGGCGGTTCATTGACAGCCTCAATGGGGAGCCGCCTGTGGTGCGGTTGCCTCTGCCCCCTGAGGTCAGACTAGAGCTGGCTCGGTTTTGTGCGCTTGTGCCGTTGGCTAGGCTTGATTTCCGGTTGCAAGTGGCTGGGCGGGTGACCGCTTCGGACGCCTCCAGCTCTGGAGGCGGAGCGTGTGTCACTACCGGACTGACCGACTATGGGGCAGCTGCGGCAAACGCATCCGTTCGGGGCGACAGACTTGGTCCAGGTCTTGTCCGTGGGCCTGTTCGATGGTGTGGGGTGCCTACGTATGGCCTGTGATGTGTTGGGACTTCCTATGGCAGGACATGTGAGTGTCGAAAAGTCACCAGAAGGGCGTAGGGTTGTTGAAGCTGCGTTTGCCAGCTCCATCTTTGTGGAGGATGTCAACATAGTCGACGAGGAGATGGTGGCTGGCTGGGCGTGTCGCTTCAGTCAGGTGGGCCTGGTCTTGTTGGGAGCTGGACCTCCCTGTCAGGGAGTGTCAGGCCTCAACGCCGACAAACGTGGGGCATTAAAAGATTTGAGAAGCTGTCTCTTCCAGCATGTCCCCCGTATCAAGGAACTCCTCCGCAAGGGTTTTCCTTGGGCCCAGGTGAGGTGTATAATGGAGTCGGTGGCTTCCATGGACATCGCTGATAGGAAAGTGATGAGTGAAGCGGTTGGAATAGTTCCCTACCGTATTGATGCGGCGGGAGTTTCACTGGCCCACCGGCCTCGCCTGTATTGGTGTGACTGGGAACTCCTGGAGATGGAGGGAGTGACGCTGCAGTTTTCTCAATCTCCTGAATGGGGGGATTTCCATCAAGCTCAGCTCACCGCATCCCTTGAACCCACCCACTATCTGGAACCAGGTTGGGACCTTCAAACGCCTGAACAGAGGCAACCCACATTTACTACTTCACGACCGTCCAATCTACCGGGACGCAAGCCCGCCGGGCTAGCCTCCTGTGACCCTCATGAGATTCAGCGGTGGACTGAGGACCTGCACCGGTTCCCCCCATATCAATACCGAGATGCGAATTGCCTTCGTCACCGTACTGGGCGGTTGCGAGTGGCCTCCTTAGTGGAGCGGGAGGTCATCATGGGCATGCCAGCCCATCACACTGCTCAGTGCTGGCCCAAGGGGCGACGAACTGGAGATCGATACCAGGACGCTCGTCTATCCTTGGTGGGGAATGCTTGGTGCGTTCCCGTCGTGGCCTGGCTTATTGGGTGCCTTGGGAGTTTGTTGGGATTGTGTCGCTCTTTCACACCACAGCAGATCATACAGCTTTGTCGTCCAGGGGGCTCGGGTGAGCTGCAGCAGTTGTTGCTGAGGCCTCCTGTGCGCCGGCATACAACTGTGCCGGATCAGCAAGGTTCCCTCCTGGTGAAGAAACTGGCTGGGCTTGTATCCATAAAGGGAGAGGACTTGCTGTTGCAGTCTTCGTCGGAGCAACAGGTGAAGTACCAGAGGCTACGTGCGTCTATACCTTCGGGGTTGTGGCGATGGAAGACAATCGCTGGGTGGACCTGGAGAGGTTCTCCCGAGCACATCAACAGCCTGGAGTTACGTGCTGTATACACTACGGTGCGTTGGTGGGTTAGCCAAGCAGGGGCACATTCCTGCAGGTTTATCCACTTGACCGACTCCTTGGTTTGCCTCCACGCGTTGAGCAGGGGTCGGAGCAGTAGTCGCAAGATGCGGAGGACCATTGCAAAGTTGAACAGCTACCTTTTGGCGTGCAACCTTCATCCCACATGGGCTTATGTGAACACGGCTGATAATCCGGCCGACCGGCCCAGCCGGCGCAAAGTTAATAAACGATGGGCAAAGTAGCAAAACGCCACGTGGAAGGTCGCACCAAAGCTGAAAGGATAGCTGTTCGAAAACGTCTTGGTCCCCTGCAAACTCTCACTGTTCAACCTCGTACCAAAACCCGCTACGAGCGTGCACGTACCCTCTTTTATTCTTTCCTCAGGGATGAGGATTTGGTTCTTCCCCGCCGTAGACAGGACCTTGATCAACTTCTCTCGGAATACATCGAGCATCTCTGGTCCACGGGAGAGGGACGGGCCTTGGCTAATGACACAGCTGCAGGTCTGCAAGATAAGGATCCCAAGCTCAAGGGATTATTGCCTGTCAGTTGGCGCCTACTCAAGACTTGGAGTGTCAATGAGATCCCTAACCGGGCTCCTCCTTTTCCGGAGGTCGTCCTTCACGCCTTGGTAGGATGGGCCTTACAGCGGCAGAACTTGGGCTTTGCCGTTTCTCTCCTTGTAGGATTTTATTGTATGCTTCGTACAGGGGAGTTGCTGGGTATCCATAGCCACCATATTTCAATGTCCAAACCACGCCAGGTCGCCGTGATCTCCCTGGGCCTGACTAAGGGCGGTAAGAGACAAGGTGCTACAGAAAGTGCAACATTGGGTGTTTTGGAGGCGCTCCACCTCCTGTGGCAATGGAAAAAATCTGTGCCTGCTAACACCTCTCTGTGTCCTCCCCCACATCGTTGGAGGAAAACCTTTTCTCAGGCCATTACCGACCTCAAACTTGAAACTCTAGGTTTCCGACCTTATAGTTTGCGCCGGGGGGGTGCGACTCATTGGTTTCGTCATCATGGATCGCTTGACAAGCTCCTTGTACAGGGCAGGTGGGCTGCGCCCAAAACTGCAAAAAATTATATAAATGAAGGATTAGCCATTTTGGCAGAGACTAAAGTGCCTGAAGTTTCCCTGAAGCCTTTTCTCCTTTCTTTTTCACGTGCTGTTCGCTAAATGTCCAAAAGCTTGAGCAGCTTGCAGCAGGACAGGGGGACGTGGAGAAGTACCCTGTTGTGATGAAATTTCGCTCAATTTTGTGTTTTAAACAGTGCTTAAGGCCTAGGAGAGCCTCGGTTTTGGCGAGGCCCTAGGGGGCACGGAGGAGAATATTTTCCTTTCGGTTTGGCGGAAGGTCAATATTTCTAAGCCTCCTTTATTTTGGGTAGACCCAGGGAGGGGTCAAGCGAAGTCAGACTCAAGAAGTCTTTGGGCATTATTTTCGTATGCCCTGTTAGTGCAAGGTTAGTATTCTGGTTGGGATACTAGTCTTCACAAATTTCCTTTTTTGACAAATTTAGACTTGCTATGCGTCAAAAAGTGAACCTGCTGAGCCTTTATATATATATATATCATTTTCCTATTAACAAATTGACGTTGTTATGTTTGAGCCGATGTTTGACCATTGTTGCAGGGATCTTTCCAACCTGGTCCTTTTAGGCCTGCGAAAGGAACTCAAAAGGGACTTGTTGCTGGTGGCCAGGGTCCAGCGAGCCCAGCGCTTAGTCGGATCATGTCGGATCATGTCGGATCCACCAATGGTTGGTGGTTTGGGTTTCGAAGCTCAGGATTCTCACATATTCTCACTATAGTGTACTATAGTAACATACTAGTAACATATATAGTAACATATATAGTAACTAGTATAGGTATCCCATGGTATCCCCATTCCCCACCATCAGCTTCCTGGTTGAATCCGCAGGAGACTCCTGGGGTGCAGAGGCGGCTGCCAACCAGGTGGACGATTTGGAAATTGATTGGATGCTGCAACCTTAGCTCCAAAGGAAACTCTAAGAAACTCTCGGATAACACAAAAAACATCAAAAAACCCTGGTTGATAACCGTTTTGTGTTCTTCAGTTAAATTGTGATTTCAGGGTTCAGTACATATTCTCTTTCTGGACGAGCTGATATGGATCAGTCCAAATTGTGAAGTGGCGTGTGCGTCGATTTTATGTGTTCCGAAGTGCAAGGCAGGACGAGTTCCATGCGGGCCGTGTGTGTTTGGTTGATGTGACCAAAAATGTCATGTCCTCAGCGTGTCTCGATCTCACACTCGGATTATGCCACATGTCAAGGGATTGATGTGAAGGAAAATGGCTTTGGAAAATCGTTTTGGACACCGATATTTTTCACACCACTCTGGAGGTTTCCTGTTGAACCAATTCTGGGAAGTTTCCAAGGTTTCAATGGTCAGATGTCCTGCGTCGAATCTGTCGCGAGACGTGCCCTTCACTTGATACATCTGAGAGGAGAGTTGCCAGCTGCTTCAGTTGCCTTCAATTTGGCCCATCCTTGAGAGGTATATGTTCACCAATCTGTTGCAGAACCCAGTTGGCAACCGAGTTTCCTTTACTTCTGATATGTTTGCACCACGAGCAGTTCATAGTCGACATGACCTGGGTTTTTTTGAGGATGTGCCCCAGAAGTTTCTGAGGCGCACTGGCTGTGAATGACGTTGTTTGTTTCAAGATCCACACGAACAAACACGGCCTGCCCGGATGCCTCAGTGAGAAGCCATCAAAACCAATGGGTGCTACTTTCATGGCTGAAAGAGATGGCGCACAAATCTCTGAGGCCACAGGCCTCTGCCCCATTGTGGAAGCGTATTGGCTACAGCCTCAGTGTCCTTGTGCGTGTGCTCAAGATGTTGTTACCCTTTCTACAGGTTTCTATTGGTTTCTACTGGTTTCTCCTGGTTTCTATTGGTTTTCTATTGGTTTTCTGTTGGTTTTCTGTTAGTTTTCTATTGGGGTTTCTGTTTGTTATTCGTTTCGACTTGTGATATTTTCTGATGTGCCCCCTGAGGCACTGATGCTACCGACAGCGTGGTTCGCTTCGGCGAATTCCAGGGCCTTGTGGTGAGGACAGGGGGCATGGGCCCTCGTTGCGTTGTGCCGTTGATGAGATTTTAAACATAGCGATGGGTTGCATACTGGTTGCATCATGTTGTCATGTTGTATATGGTTGCACCTTCTGCAGCAATACCGTGATCAACAGTTTCCACTTGTCCTTTTGCAGCGGCCGCAGATTGGATGACGGGTCTATTTCCATTGACTGCGCAGAAGTGATCCAGCTGCATGGCAAAGACGCGTCGATGTCAGAGGACGTCCACAAAACGAAAATGCACGCTGCGGCATGGCATAGCATGAGGATGCATGAGGAGTGGAGCTTTAATGAATTGAGTATGACTTACAGGATGACTATCAACTAGAGATGAGAATTGCCTTGCAAGCTGCGTGGTGTAGCAGGGTGGCTGCAACATATCATGCCATGCCATGCTATGAGCGCCACACAAGGCAAGCAAGATGGGAGAACGAATGGCCTTTTCTTCTTTAAACAAATGCATATGGTATCCTCAGTTTGCACTTGGTCTCGTGCAGTTTTGCCACTGGGATTGGAGGATGTTACTTCATGTTTCTTCCAAGTCATCAGTTGCTGTAAGTTGCTGTAAGCACATGTAGCTACAATGTAGCAGGAGTCAATGAATGCGTGCGGCCTCGTTGAGGGGAACTTCATTTCCTTCGAAGTGTCGGGCTTCCCAGGGCTCCCCAGGGCGCCACCGGAGCCACTGGAGCCACCGGAGCCATGGCCACCTTGGGCCTCGTCAACTAAGGTCACTTGATGACAATGGGGATCCACAGGCGCCATGGGACAGGGAAGTTGGGCTTGGTGTCAATGGATTCAATGGCCTAGTTTCACCATGTTTCACCTAGCTAAGATTTGAAGTATGTTGATCACTTTTAGATGGATTTTCTGAGGTTTGGTGAATATCATGGGTGAGTATGTATACAGGGAATGCGGGAGGCCCCACAATATATGGGAGGCCCCACAATATATTATGAGGATCCTAAAAAACAAACCAATGTAAATATGAGAGTATGAGATAAAATCAAACACGATTTCAATAGATTTCAGGTTGGTGAGTTATTGATTTTCCAATCTGGATCCAACTCTCCTTGGTGAGGCTCTTCCGCCTTGCTGGATTTGCTGCTCTTCTGAGAGATGGGCACAGTGCTTAGTGGGCTTAGTGCACCTGTGGTAATGAAGATTTAGCTGTGGCATCAGAGCTGATGACTGGATTTGCTGTTGGGTTGTGATGTGATGCAGCGTTTTATCATTTAAACGTTTATATTATATATATATCTGTTTATGGGTTGGACTCATCAATGGTTCAGCAGTGTGTTTGAGGTCAAAGACCTTGTGGGCGCCAAGGAGGTGCCCCATGCCCATCATACCATGACCCGTTTGAATCCCAAGATTTCAAGATCAAAGATCCACTGCGGAGGAGTCGCTTGCAAATTCTGCCCAGACCCCAGGTGGATGAACAAACCATCAACGGTTTTTCAGACTTCAGACTATTTTAGAATTGGATCTTGATGCAGATGCCTATGCACATTGGATTTTGATGGCAGGGAGAAAGAACTTCCATAAATGACATGTTTGTATACGACGAATTCTGCTGGACATGCCTCTCCGGTTTCTCCGCAGAAACTGTTTCAGCAAAGAGAAGTGCCTGCAGTAGCCCTCAGCCGCTTGTGCCTGTCGGAGAGATGCTTGGTTTCATCTTGCAGCTTGGCAAAGTTTCAGACTTTCAGTGGATTTCAGTGTCATTGATTCAAGACTATTTCGAAAGGCCAGCCTTTCATCGGGGCACCACAGTTCTGACCAACATCATATTGGCGCCACATAGCTTTCCATGCATCTCCAGCAGAGGTCTCCGATTGAATTCATCCTGGTCACAGTCTATGCGCCTTTGGTGAGCTTGAAAGCATTGGAGTCCGAAACTTCGAAGGACGACACCAATATGTCTTTTGGCCCAAGAAGCTCAACATTTCAAGCATTGAAACATCCAACTTGCCCAAGCATATTCAGATGTTGTCGGACATCTCTGATTCCGAACATTTCCGAAATTATGCGAAATGATGAGCTTTGTTATGAGATTTGTTACATGGTGTCGTGTTGTTATATATAATATATATATATATACACTCTTTGTTCTGAGTGCTTGGCGGCTTCCTTAGGCTCGCCTTTTGGCTGACGTCTCTTGGCTGCTGCAGTTTCCTTCACGCTGCGAGCTCCGTCCATCGAGATCCATCGAGATCCGAGGTTCAGCATCCTGTCGGCCCTCGAAAGCTTGTCCTACGGCGCGCTCTGGCTCTTCCCGTTCTACACCGAGGTGAGGTTTGCCCTTGTGGCACCGGCCTTAGCCAATATGCGGCCAGGACACTGGGGATATGTGGGGATGGCTGGGAGATGGGCATAGAACTGGCCCAAGTCTGAGGTGTACATGCTCTTCTTCGAGGGGGGCAAAACCGTCCAGGGCTTCAGAATAAAGAGCACAGCAGCACGGATCAGGGCATAGGTGGCATACGGCATAGATGAGTGGGACTGTGAGATCAAACACTCGAGATGTCGCCACATGTCAGGTTTACAAATCTGTCATTGACCCGGCTTACCAGAAGGCGCTTGATTGATGGACGTTTCGTGTAAATGTTGGTTTGAGACAGAGCATGCATGTGTCCAATGGCAACACTTGGCAACAAACACTGCGTGTTGCACAGGGTTTCAGTGGCAATGACAGGCGAAGAAGAAGATCCCTGAGGAATTGTTGGACAAGATGCACAAGGTTTCTCTGATTTTCTGTAATGTTCTGCACCGGATGGCTGCAGTTGCCAGGACCCCAAGGGCTTCTTGAAGGAGATGGCGGAGAAGGCAAAAGAAAAAGGCCGGAGAAAAGACACGGCGACCCCGAGCATGCGGCATCGTTTGTTACATTTTAGTGAATCCACAATGCCCCTTGATGTACAGTAGGATGTTCTCTTTCACGGCATGATTGCTGTGATGTTTGCCAACGTTTGAATGATACGTGCGTTGTTATATATCAAGTATATATATAATATTATTGTTTTTGTTTCCTATGCTATCGTGATGTATACCAATAGCCAAGATTGCGACAGTAGTTTCTTCAAAACTGCTGTCGTGAATTTCGACAGGCATGGAATTGGTGCAGCAGATCCAGGCCAAGCAAGCTGAAGCTCCCAAAGCTGACAAGGGCGAAAAGAAGAAGGCAAAGCAGGCGACATCCCCAATCCTTGCCACCGTTGCATCCACAGAGATCCACGGTGTAACGATGGATCTATGGTGATGATGAAAAGAGCAGTTTCATCATGTATATATAATATGTATATAATATAATATGTATAATATATTATAATATATGTCGTATAATTCTTATGTTGTAAATGTGAGAGTATAACAAAAGTGGTCTGTTACGGGTATAGCAGCTTTTGTTGCAACAGTCCCTGCACAATTTGTTGCTCTACTTTTTGGACATGAGAATGCATGAGATATTACCACCGATTACCACCTTTGAATACACGTGCCGCCTATTGTAGTTGCCTAAGTTTTCCCTGGGCGAGGCGAAGTAGTTTTCGGAGAGCTGCATTGAGTGATGCTAGCTGCACTGCAGCTGCTATAGATTTGGTACAGAAGGCAGCGTGACCCATGGCAGCCTGTGGCTCGGTCCGCAAAGGATCAGGGCTGGTAGCTGCACCCGCACAGAATGCGCCAGTTTGGGCGAAAGTCCTTTCGGTTGAAACATGAACAGGCGAGTAGGCAACAACGTGACGCTGATAAAAAAGGTGCGCATAACCGCAGAACTATTGAGTTGGTGGAAGGCTTCAGGGGTTCAGCAGTACAGAGACCTTAAAATGCAGCAAAGAAGGTAAGAAGATCAGATGTGGACGTAGAGGTACGTAGAATGCTGAGATGTGACGGATGGAAGAGCAACCTGCCAATCCCCACGGGTTGCAGCAAGGTTTGAGTGCCAAATACAGCAACTCCTTCCCTGTGCTGCCATCGCGAGCTCCTCAGTTCTATGCCCAGTTGCAAAATTGAAACAACCAGGGAACATGTGGCATATCTCCATTCGACTTGACGTTGCAAGTGGCTCAATATGCTCAATGGGCTGGTACCATGATGGGACGATGTAGCCAGTGACTGTCAAACATCCCAATCGAAGACTTGTTAGATGTTGGAGCGGAGAAGAGAGTTTGCCAAAGACACCCGACTTATGAGTTTTCAGCAGCACCACAAAGACATCAAAGTGGGACAGCACAGAGAGAGAGAGAGGATGGCCGAACTAGCAGCAAACCATTCGTCGCGATTTGAAAGAATTCTTATCAAAACACTTCTGAAAGAAGAGCCCCAAGAGGGCAGCATGTCAGCTTTCGAGCATGGCGACAGATGAAGACGTCAGTTTGCTCAGAAAATATGAGAGGCCAATCATGATAATCATGAAAGTGCTGACGTTCTGTCATTTCTGGATCTCATTATGTCAGTCCATTTGTAATGGATCGTTTGCACATTGACATGTTTATACTTCCATATTCAGGATGATCCTTGATGCAACTTGAGAGCCCTGGTAGTCTTATTTTTCCGCAATCATCAACAATGACCAACAGATTAACAGTCATATCAGTCATGACTGTCATGACTAGAAGCATTTTGTAACACTCCATTTTTGCTCATCACGTTATTTTCGCCAAGGTCTCTGCCTTTGTCAACCTGTTGCAGCTCCTGCGAAGCCCTGACAACCCTGTGCGATCAGACGCTGAGAGGAGGCTCACTCTGGCTTTGGCACCGCGCAATACGCGCCGTGTGGCAGATGTGGCAGTGGGTGTGTCGCGGGAGGTATGCTGATGCGTCCAAGACAGATCCGCCCCGAGTTTTCGCTCCTTTCCTGCAAGATCCGCAAGATGTTAGGAAGTTTCACTATAGTATCACTATAGTTACTCAGCAGTTGTCAGTCAGATATCTCCGAGAACTGAGGCTTGCCTCGGCATCTCGGTGACCCATCAAGATGAGGTGGTGAGGATTCAGGCTGACGACATCTGACGACATACAACTGCCATCCAGCATCCACCAGCCACCAGACTCCCGGAGGCCGGCACCCTGCTGCGAAGAGCTGCTCTGCAGAGTGATGCTGAAGATCCATGGCCCAAGGCATGGTAGATGGGTGCAGATGGTAAAACATGGTAAAAACCAGTCTATAATCTTCCAGTGCAAAAAGATTCTGTCAGCTCTGTCCATGTTTCATGCTTTTTCCATCGTTCTCCCTTTGAAATGCAAGAGGCAAAAGTTGTGCACCCCTTGGTGCAAAGCAATCTTCTCAAGGCGCCATCACATTGCCAGTTCATTTCAAGGCTAATCGCCACTAATCGCACAGGAAAAGCATCGCAATTTCAGGCCTTGGCCTATGAACCCAGTTCAGCGGTGAGACGTGTTCTGGTGGCCGCCATTGCAGTCATTTCAGAGGCAAGACGTGTTGCAAGACGTGGCTTTCCACATGTTCAGATGCATTGCAGTCGATATAGTCCATTGCAGTAGGGCACAGAAGGGGATTAGTATCACAGCATCACGGAGAGTATGATTAGTTGATATTAGTTGGCAAGTTGATCCAGGCGGGTCCATGGCCAGACTTGGTCCCATTTGCCTTCAAGTTGAGCAAGGAAAATGCCGAGGCCAGAGCGGCCAGAGGTTGATGCTCTGAGATACCAAGAGATAGCGAAAGAAAGTAGCAGATCCAAGTGATCAAAGATGATGTTCAGGACAGGCTGTCCCATACTCCATGCCATCCATGCTTATCCTTGTTGCAAGGCTGCCATTTGTCTGCTGTCTGAAATCATGGGCAGCCACGTGCAGGAGACAGTCACAGCAACTCACATCCCAAATATATCCCAGATACTCATCCTTCCCCAAATGAAATTCCATCAAATTTGGACAAATCTAGAGAGGTCCCAAAACATGAACAATTCCAAGACAAAACCATGGTGTTTGGGGGATATTAATGGATATTAAGGATATGAAATGATATGAATATCAGCTGGTGTTTGGAGGCAGCTGAGCAGCTTGGCCCAGGAGATCATGTCCCAGGGGGAGTTGGTGACCATCGTGGACCAGGGCTTGGCTTTTCACGCGGCCAGCACGGTCAGCATGATCTGCCAGATGGTTCCAGTAGTTCCAGCAGTGGATCAGGCGATTCGGCAGATTCAGCAGATTCTGCCGAAGATGGAAGATTCACTGAGAACTTTGGCTGGTGGAAGTGGAGGAAGTGGAGGAAGTGGAAGTCTTTCAACAGCTTTGCAGGCATTGATTGGGTTGGTGGAGCATTCTCCTACTTTCTTCAAACCGAGATACCAGACCTGGATTGATTTGATGTTAGACTTTGCTTCTGCATCTTCGTTGGATTCTGCAGTGCGCTTGCTGTCTTTCGAATGGGTTTCCACACTCACAGCCGCCAAGGGATTGCTGAAGGCTGTGCCAGACTTGCCGGAGAAGGTCCTTTCGGTAGCATTTCTGTTTCTTCGTGAAGTTGATGAAAATGCTCACGACGACGAGGACCTCCACAAGGAAGGAGAAGCTAAAGTCGATTTCTTCGTGAAGAAATTCAGCTTCAAAGTCACAGTGAAGCCTCTGATGACTCTAACAGCACGGCATGTGAGCGGATCTTGGAAGGAGAAGGTAGCTGCTGCTATGGCCATCCGTGCTGCTGGAGAGTATGCTGATGACACTGCTGCTGATCAAATGGCAGAGTTTTTGCTGCAGTTGCTGGCAGATAGCCATGCCCGGGTCCGTTTGGCAGCATTCTTCGGTTTGGGTCAGCTGTGTCATGATCGTATCTCAAATTTTCATGAAAAATGGTGTGACAAGTTCATGCCTGCCCTTGTGCAGGGTTGCAACGACACAGATGTCATTGCAGTGAAGGCCATCAGTGCATTAGAAGCTCATCTCCATGGATTGTCAGAGCAAGAAATTCAACGCTTCTCAGACACACTGATTTGTGTCTTGATGCAGAAACTTCAATCAACAGATGAAGCGATTCTGATAGCATCCTTGGAAGCTATTGGGGCTTTGGCCATTTCATTGGACAGCTTCGATTCTTACGATTCATTGGTTCCCCTGCTGTTGCGGGCCCTGGCCGGGGAGGCTGTTTCCCAAAGTCACCAAACGCTTCGAGAGAAGGCCTTCGAATGCATTTCCCTCACGGGTTTTGCAGTGAGTAAGGAGAAGTTTGCCCCAGCAGCTGCTGCGGCCTTGAAGTCGATGTTTACCACGTCCATCAGCCAACTGGGCCAACTCTCGGATTGCACCAGTGATGCCCTGAAACGGATTTGCAAAGTCCTGGGGAAAGACTTCGCGGATTTCCTGCCCTACTTTGTGCCCAATATCCTCAGAGTGCTTGAAACTGATGTCTTCACCACGGACATCCAAGGAGCAGGCGATGATGACTTGGTCGTTGCAGCCGGTGACACTACCATCCGAGTGAAGACAGGGCAGTTAACCGAGATGGTTGCGCTGCTGAATATCTTGGAAGTGTTTATGAAGCACACAGCTGAGGGATACATCCATCCAGTGGATTTCGTGCGTCCAACCAGTGAAACTCTCACCAAGCTCCTGTGCAGCAATCCATCCAGCGAAGTCTCGCCAATCACTTCCGAGATACGTTCGGCCCTATATCCATGCTGGGCAGAACTGGTGGGTCTAGTGACTCCCGTGAACCCTCAACTTGTCAGTGAATTGGTGCAGAATTTTGTAGACAAAGTAGGCTCAGATCTTGTGAAGGCAGATGAAGCTGATGAGATCGCATCAATGGCCATGGGCATTGTGACCATCATCAACCGCGCTGGGATCGGCACCTTACGGCCCGAGCAGGTGAACAGCATTTGCGAATTGGCCGTGGCTGAGATCCGTCAATCCTTTCAACGCGATGCTGCGGTGACGGAGACGACGGAGACGACGGAGGCCGATTCTCAAGGCTCAACGGGCTCAACGGACTCAGCGGAAGATGAACATCAATGCCGAACGGAGCTTTTGTCGATGATCACTGCCTGCATGAAGGCAGATGCTCGGACATTCATCGCATCAACTTGGCAAACGCTACAGGCTCTACTGCAACAGTGGTTTGTTTCCTATGGGCAGCTGGGGGGTAAAAAGTTGGCCTTACATTTGGCCTGCGACATCTGCCAGCACCTGGGTGAAGCTGTGAATTTGTTGGCCGGCTTCATGGATCAGATCATCAAGGCAGGTCACCAATATGGAACTGGTTGCTGGGTGGCTTGCAAAACAGGTTGAGGTGATTGATGATGGTCTTAGATTCTGTTGGATGGTGTTAGATGATGTTAGATGGTTCTAGTTATTTCTAGTTCCTTAGTTCATCTTATTTCTTCTGCTGGGTTGCTTCTTATTTCCTTTTGTATCTTTTGTTGGACTTTGCTGACTTTGCTGGTAATCTCTAGGGAGTCCTCAAGTCTTGCAGAGGCGTTGACTTCTCGAAGTAAAGAGGAGCGGCACTGGGCTGCTTTCACAGTGAACTATGCTGCCAGAAGCTCTGCCTTCAGTCCCTTTGCTGCCCAAGCAACGGAACGCCTCAAGGCACACCTGCAGGGGGACAGCAGCTCAGCAGAATGTATGACTAGGTGAGCTTAATTGGTCTTGATTGCATCAGTTGACCCTGCTTAGAAGATCTTAGAAACCGGAAAGCCGTGAAGTTGTTGATATTTGGGTTACCCTCCAGTAAACTATGGCTGTCCCTATAGGAAATTACCCAGCATTTGCTCAGTTATCTCCTCAGTTGCCCTGTTGCGCTGTTTTTCCCCTTGGCCCAGCGGTATCCCATTGGTTATTGGTTGGGACATGTTGGGAGCTCACTGAGGTGAGACTGCGGCTTTGCTCCAACTCTGTTTGACACATCGGCAGTGTGCTGACAGCGACTGCTGGGCCATGTGCCTTGCAGCGCTTCCGCTGAAGGCTGGGGCAATGCCAATGGAAAATCTATGGAAAATCTCAACTCACTGGTGAAACTGTGAAGTCTTGGACTGGAAAGTGAAGAATTGATGCAGCCAAGTCACAAACAAAACAAATTTAATGAATCTATAATGAATCTTAGTCAGAATTACATGCACAAATAAATTCCTCACTTGTTTGAGTTCGGTTTTCAGGTGGAGATGGCTGAGTGCCGAAGGCCATGACAATCTGTGGCAATCCATGGCATTCGACCCCCTTTTGGCATCGGCGGTGTTTCTTCTCAAGTTTGTACCGTGTCCCAGATGTCCCAGGCTGAACAGTTGCCTCTTCACAGAGGCCAGGATGAAAACATGATGAACCAATAGAGAGAGAGATAGAGATGTGATGT